TGAAGTTGCTCCAGTCAGCTGGCATCCCTCTTAAAGTGTGGTGTCCAGAACTGGAGACAGTACTCTAGATTAGGCCTAATCAATGCAAAATAAAGGGGAACTACTGTGTTTCCCCGAAAATAAGACAGGGTCTTATATTAATTTTTGCTCCAAAAATGCAGTAGGCCTTATTTTCAGGGGAATGTTTTAATTTTTTCCATGTGTAACAATCTACATTTATTCAAATACAATCATGTTATCTTCTGGTTGCTACACAATTCTGCACAATGGTGGAGGGCGGGGTTTCACTTAACTAGGGCTTATTTTGAGGTAGGGCTTAAATCACGAGCACACTGAAAAATCAAACTAGGTCTTATTTTCAGGTTGTTTTATTTCTGGGGAAACAGGGTACAGTGGGGTCTTGACTTGAGAAGGTGGTTGGAAGGTGGTTCTCAAGTCAAAAAGTCTGTAGGTCAAGTCTCCATTGGCCTACAGTGCATTGAAAACCGATTAATCCCGTAACAGGCCGTTTTTGTTCCATTTTGGTTTTTTTCTGGTCTGTAAGTCAATTCTCAGGCTGCAAGTCAAACCTAAATTTTGCAGCCAGAGAAGTCTGTAACTCAAAAAGTCTGTAAATCAAGCTGTCTGTAAGTCAAGGGTCCACTGTAGTACCTCAGAGAATTTGGAGACTATACTTCTGTTAATGAATCCTTAAATAGCATTGGCCTTTTTTGCAACCACATTGCACTGTTGGCTCAGTGTTGATCTACAACAATTCCAAGATTGTTTGTAGTATTACTGAGTCAAATATCCTCCATCTTGTAAGTGTGCATTTGACTCCGCCCATATAAAACTTAGCACTTATCCCTGTTAAATTTAATTCTGTTGTTTTTAGCCCAGTGCTCAAACCTATGAAGATCTTTTTGAATTTTGTTCCTGTCTTCCAACATATTAGCTATTCCACCCACTTTTGTGTCATCTGCAAATCTGATAAGTATTCCTTGCACTCCCTCAACCAACTCATTAATAAAAATATTGAAGAGCATTGAGCGTTGTGGTACCCCACTTGTTAGCTTCCAGTTTGAGAAGGAGCCATTGACAAGCACTCTATTAATACCATTCTGTAGCCAACTGTGTATCCACCTGATGCTTGTTCTGTCCACACCTAGTTAGCTTGCTAATCAGAATACTGTATAATGGGGCACTTTGTCAAAGGCTTTTTACTTTTCCTATTTTTTAATACTAACACTTTAATTTTTTATAGAGTTTGATTAACCAGGACTCTCAAACCAATATCCAATTACATAAAATCCAATAAAACCCGGACAAGACAAAGGTCTTGAGGGTGGGCGCCCCCAATGTAGGTGGTTCGGGAAACTCTCTCTTGTTTGGGGGGGGTGACTCTAGCCGCCAAGAGTGGGGTTCGTAGCTTGGGTATCCATCTGGACCCAGCGCCATGGAAACTCAGGTGGCGTTGGTGGTCTGTACTGCGACCGTATCTCGATGTTGGGGTGCTCACTACCTTGGTACATGCACTCATAATCTCAAGATTAGACCACTGTAATGCACTCTACGTGGGGCTACCTTTGAGGCTGATGCGGAAACTCCAAGGGGTGCAGAATGTGTCAGCCAGACTCCTCAGCGGAGTGAGAAAATATCATATTTCTTCTATTCTGGCCGCATTGCACTGGCTGCCCATCCGGTTCCACATTGACTTCAAAGTTTTGATGTTAACGTATAAAGCCCTAAACGGTTTCGTCGTCGTTGTTTAGTCATTTACTTGTGTCTGACTCTTTCTGACCCCGTGGACCAGAGTACACCAGGCCCTCCTATCTTCCACTGCCTCCCGGAGTTGTGTCAAATTCATTTTGGTTGCTTCGATGAAACTGTCCAACCATCTCATCCTCGGTCGTCCCCTTCTCCTCTTGCCTTCACACTTTCCTAACATCAGGGTCTTTTCGAGGGAGTCTTCTCTTCTCATGAGATGCCCAAAGTATTGGAGCCTTAGCTTCAGGATCTGTTCTTCCAGTGAGCACTCAGGGTTGATTTCCTTTAGAATGGATAGGTTTGTTCTCCTTGCAACCCAGGAAATTCTCACGAGCTCCCTCCAGCACCACAATTCTAAGACATCACTTCTTCGGTGGTCGGTTTCCTTTATGGTCCAGCTCTCACTTCCATACATCACGACAGGAAAAACCATAGCTTTGACTATTGGGACTTTTGTTGGCAAGGTGATGTCTCTGCTCTTTAAGATGCTGTCAAGGTTTGCCATTGTTTTCCTCCCAAGAAGCAGGCGTCTTTTAATTTCGTGCTTGCTGTCACCATCTGCAGGGATATGGAGCCCAAGAAAGTAAAATCTGCCACTGCCTCTATATCTTCCCCTTCTATTTGCCAGGAGGTGATGGGACCAGTGGCCATGATCTTAGTTTTTTTGATGTTGAGCTTCAAACGATTTTTTGCGCCCTCCTCTTTCACCCTCATTAAGAGGTTCTTTAATTCCGCCTCACTTTCTGCCTTCAGAGTGGTATCATCTGCATATCGGAGGCTGTTGATATTTGTTCCGGCAATCTTGATTCTGGCTTGGGATTTCTCCAGTCCAACCTTTCGCATGATGTATTCTGCAGATAAGTTGAATAAGCAGGGGGACAATATACAGCCTTGCCGTACTCCTTTCCCAATTTTGAACCACTCAGTTGTTCCATGACCAGTTCTAACTGTTGCTGAAAACATGGGTTGAGTTGCAATATCCTCTCTTGTAGCCATTCTGCTTGAAACAGTGGCCCAGCTTTGCATTCCTATATAGTGGCTGTAAAGCAAAATCCCTTCTCTGAGCTATGCAAAAAATGGAGTTGTTTTAAAACAACAGCTGAATTAAAATACATTGAAAGAGGCATAGAGCTTTGGCATATACTATAATAGCGTGGGGATATATTGGCAGAGAATGTCATTAAGCAATTCAGTGCAGTTTAAAAACTACAAGAAATCAGTGGCCTTCAGGATACATATTTTGTGTCATACTCTTTATGAAGGACAGCATAATAAAATATCAACTACCAATGGCAAAATATAGACAGAGTTTTAGACAAATTATGACATTTCATTGTTGTGTTGTTTTCAACTAGCACTATGTCAAGAGTACATAGTGCTAGTTCCTCTCCTAGTCTAGGAGAGGAATCTGCAAAGAGCCATAAAGATTCATAGCATCACTATGTAACGTGTAGGCAGAGAGACCCTGAACCACTCATTGAAAGGACACTGAAGTCTCCACATGGTTGGGCAGCATCAAATAAATGAAGCACTGACAAACACAGGGATCCATGACTTTCAAAGTCATGACACCATAGTGTATCTGTGTTCCATGGAATATATTACCTTAAAATTCATCTTTATGTGGTCTTAACCTCATTGATTTACTTGACTTTATTTTTATTATAATTTTCTGTTTTCCCATCTTGAACATTACTAAGCATTACTAATCAGTATTGTTTTGAATTGTTTTTAACGGTTTTATTTTACAATGTTTATTGGAACCCGCCTGGAGTAGACTTTGTCTAAAATGGTGGGATAGAAATCAAATAAATAAATAAACTACTCTCTTCAGTTTAAGCTTGAATTTTGCTATGAGAAGCTGATGATCAGAGCCACAATCAGCTCCAGGTCTTGCTATTGCTGACCGTATTGAGCTTCTCCATCTTTGGCTGCAGAGAATATAATCATTCTGGCTTTGGTATTGCCCATCTGGTGATTTCCATGTGTAGAGTCGCCTCTTGTGTTGCTGGAAAAGAGTGTTTGTGATGACCAGCTTGTTCTCTTGACAAAACTCTATTAACCTTTGCCCTGCTTCGTTTTGAACTCCAAGGCCAAACTTTCCTGTTGTTCCTTTTATCTCTCAACTCCCTACTTTAGCATTCCAATCCCCTAGAATGAGAAGAACATCTTTTTTATTGATGTAAAATTCTTTTCTCTCTCTCTTTTTTGTTATACTTATATGTTGTTTTTATCTGTCTGGAAGCCACCTAGAGTGGTTGCAAGACCAGATAGATGGGATGTTAAATAAATAAATAAATAAATAAATAAATAAATAAATAAATAATCAAAACAAAATGAAAATAAAACTCCACAACACAGAACAATATTTTACAACATGGCAAACAAACTTTAAAAGCAAAATGCTTGGGCACACTGTGCAATTGCCATTGTCTCCCTAAAACTCAATTAAGGATGGACCCAACCAGCCATCTTTGGGGAGGAAATCCTTCAGTATAGGTATTGCTATGGAATGGTTTTACCAGGTTCACTCCCCCAGTGAGTCTCCATGGCTGAGCGGGGATTTAAACACTGTTCTCCAGAGTCCTATTCCATCCCTCGGTCCAGTACATCACACTGGGAACCACAAATGGTTTATTAACATACGCAAATTCACAACATATAGATTCAATTATTCTTAAGCCTGGATGTTTGTAACAAATTATGGTTCACAAGAAGCTACAGCACAAAGGTTTCCCATACAATTTTGACTCAGACACATTTGTGTCGTGAAGCACTTGGACAAACAAAGCTCATTACCTTTCCCCCATACATTTGGTAGAGCAACACTCTACCAAAGCAAAAATACTAATACCTTACAAAGTTTAAAAAAAAAGGACATTGTAGGTAACCAGTTGAGTGCAGGGATCAGAGAGATGAGAAATATGTGCCATGAAGCTTACAGGGTAGCTGTAGGCCAGTCGCTATCCCTCAGCCTAGCCTACCTCACAGGGGTGTTATAAGGATAATGTGCCAGGGAAGAAGGGCGCACTGGGACTCAGTCATTAATTCACAATCGAGCCTTTAGACACCGTTCCCTGTCGCCTCCTCTCCCCATCAGAGAAATGGGAATATTAATAATAACTTACGTTATAGTCACGGTGACAAGAAACTGTAACCCTGGCAACGTTTTGTTGGTGGGGAGAGGGAGTTAAGCACTTTTCCCTCTGAAGTTCCTGAAGGGAAAGCAAAACGTTACTGTTGTCAGTATATACCTGTCTCAGAAGCTTCCAGCGGGCTTTAGCGGCTGCCTGCTTGCTTGCCTTGCAGGCTTCCCCCCTGGCATCCTCTTCTGTTTCTGCCTGACACTTGTCAGCTGGAGAAGGAGAAATGCTCCTGGCTGACTCTGTGGTCATGCTAAGAGCACTTGTTCCTTCGCTTTAGCTTGAAGGAGCGCGCCAGAAAATAAAAAATGCTCTGTGGAACGGAGACCGCAGAGTGACTTGAGGGGAAGAATCGATAGTTCTAGAGTGAGTGACTCGGTAGCCCACCGCCTCACGCGAAAGCACATAAAACAGCCCTCAGAACTAAATGGCTTTTACCGAAATCCTCACAGCAGCAGCGAGGACCTCCCCTTTCGCCGGGAGAGAGAATTGAAACTATAGCAGCCATATTTGCTAAGGGCAAGGGGCTTTCTCTTTGACTTGTGGAAAAGACTGAGGACGTTTATGAGACGCTAAGGGATAAAGAGCATCTCACTTTACCTCATAACAAGTGATTTATTACTTTGGGGTTAACGTTAATTTTCTACAAAATAAGGCATACGGGCTGGCAACATTTCCCTTCCTGCCAAGGTATTGCGCCTCTTCACATGTCTCTGGCTGAGGGAACTTGAGTACGTAAAAGCCTTTCTCGTCCCTTCATCTCTGGGACGGATGACACTTGTTGATTGGACCCCTCCATCGCCTTAAATTAAACAACGGAGTTCTTGGCTTCATTTTAAACACTGGCAACAACTCCGTGACGAGTTAGCCGTCTAAACCTGTCCCTCGGCGCCAGAAAGGACAAAATATCCGAAAGACGGTTAACTTCGGGACGGGGAAAAACTTGGTAAACAAATCCTTGGCTATGCCCAAAACCAAGATGGTAACTAGAGGATCCGGATTCACCGGCATTTTTTCTATGGGCAAATAAAAGACCAGGGAACCTTATAGGGTGCCATTTTGGGTGAGGGCAAGCCCATGACTATGAAGAGTTGTCCTCCCCTGCCATGTTGACTATGGGCAAGCATAACCAGCATATCCCATGTGGGCGGCTGAGAGACCGCGTCGGTTAGGTATGATATCATCAGTAATCGCCTCGCCATGCTGCTTCTTGTCAGAGAGCTAGCCGTTCTGAGGTACTCTGCGCAGTTGCTGAGTTTCGCTCACTCAGTCGGAATAGTACTTTTCTAGTTAAAGACGAATAAAAAGGTGGGTCCTAATGCGCTGTTTCTTCTTCTTTTAGTGATAAAATGTAGTGATGAAAGTTTAGCGTTTTTCTGCTGTAGAAATAACTTGGAGCAGAGATTCGATGGAAACTTAAGCCAAGCTTTTCCCCAAATGCCCCTGCCCATTTATAGGGATTAAACGTTATTATTTACTAAAATCTCGAAAGTCAGCCCTCCAAATACATATACAACTGCCGCTACTTAGTTTGTAACACTAATAATGCAGTCCTGCTATTGCAATTAATCAAACTATTGCTATGTAAATTAGCATCTAGGCACACCAAAGCCACAATCCTTCCCTGCTTGAATGGGAGGAAGCCTCATTGAACTCCATGGGTCATACTTTTGAGTATGTTTTATCAGACTGCATTACTAGGGATAAAGTCCCATTGAATTCTGTGGGGTTAATTTTCAACATTGAATTCTGTGGGGTTAATTTTCAATAACCAAGCTTATTATCGTAGCTAAGAGGGTGGATTTGATTTAAATAAAATTGATTTAAATCACAGTTTATGTTTTCAAAATATATTTTTTTTACAATTTAATGAAAAAAATTCATTTTATTGCTTTAAATTGTGATTTAATCAATTTGATTAGAAATCATTTATTTTTTTTATCCATGTTGCTAGTGGCGCAGTACTATTTTTTGAATCGTTTCTTCATGGAGGCTAAATATCCTGTTATTCCTTTCATAGGGCAGAGGACCAACAATACTATTTCCACATTATGAGACTGATCCAAGTGAACATTTGCTCAAAAGCAAATGTAATAGTAGAACCCATCTAACTTCTTTATTAGGACAGCCAGTGGCACATCTGATATTCAAGTGCCAGGCTGAAAGATAGGGTCCATTACTTAACAGGTGATTTTATGTCTCATCTTTTAGCAGTTGGGTCTGTATCCCTCACATTGCCTTTTTTATTATTGGATAAGAGGAAAGGTGTGGAAAGAAGGGGGGGAAAAGAAGCCAAGGAGGAAGTATTAGACCTTGACCAAGCTCTGAGACTTGTAATCAGTTTTGACACAGGCAAACAAAGATCTAAACCAGTTCCTCTATCAGGTTCAGTGTTGTGAAGCGTCTGACGAAGCCTGTATCTTATTAGGTAAATCATTAGTGACGATCAAAGACGCAGTGCTGCTGGCTATTCCTCTTGTCACTGTTATTATCACGATTTTAACCCCTCTATCTGATTAGCTCGCACAGCTGATGCACAGGAAAGAATAATGGTTGCCACTGTTTGCTCATCTGTCCATCTTGTTTGCAAGTGGGAACTTGCAGAGAGAGAACAAGCAGATGATTATTGATACTAGGGGAAGGAACTTGAGTTAAGATCATGCTCTGCCCAAACTTTGATACTTAATCCTCATCCAGAACACTAGAACAATGTCAGAAAACATAACTAGATATAAGCTGGTAGGCAACAAATCACAGTTGCAGAGACTGAATTGCCCAGCAGCAATTACAGTATGTAGAACCAGCCAGGCCCTAACTGGTTCCTTCAGTCAGATGATCTAGCCAAACTGATGAGCTTCAGTGCCATCTCTTGTCATTATAGGAACTGATCTTGAGTACAGGAGAAGTTAGGATAGCAGTCCTTCAGCCTGTGTGGTCCCTCAGTAGTACATGGAGTCAGAAAACAATGGAATTGGAAGGGGCCATAGAGTTCAACCCCTTCTCAATCCAAGAATTATAAAGGAATAACTAGTCTGCACTGCATGATCTTCCATATGCAGGCTAACTATAAGCATATCTGGGTAGTTAAGATCCCTAATAAGAGTCTCCTGGTACCTTATAAGGTGATACCTTTGTGGTCTTATGTTATAAAATATAAATGAGTTATTGTTTATCTAATTTATGTGACTATGTTGATACTGGCAATAGAAAACATCAATAATTATTATGAAGTTCTTATAAGGACTCTGCAAGAATAATATTTTGGGGAAGCCTGGTAAAGGAAAATAATTTCAAATTCTCTGTCATTTAAATTACACTTTTCTTTTGTCTCCACCAGTTTTCACTCTTGATTCCTGTGGATCTGAAGATCGTGCACTTCTGTAGCAGGAGGAAATCTTGTCTTCCATTCATACTGTGTTATGATGTTAGTGTCTAGGTTAATTGTGCTTGACTTCACTTTGAACTTACAGAAACATAAGAAAAAAGAACAAAGAACCAAGGGAAAATGAGGATAAAGTATCAAGGAAAACAAATATTTCATCATTATGTATTTACATACAAAATCTTTTTTTCATATTCTGAAGTACAGTATTGGTTGCTCCAGGAACTGTTCTAAATATTGCCTCATTTCAGTAAGATCTTATCATCAAACAAAGCTACATGAGTGCATGTTTGCAAAGTGCTTTAGAAATGCCTACATTGTTCCTTGTTCCCAAGGAGGCATTCATCCCTGGAGGTTCTTCTCCTATAAGGTACGCCATTCAAATAAATCTTTCAGGCCAACAACCTCTTAACCCTTGGATAATAAAATACAACTATCTTCTTTCAGCTGTCAATAAGCCACTAAAGGTCAATGAGGAGTAATTCAGAAAGATATTTACAGTTAAATAACAATACAGTTAAATTCTTTGTCTTCCATTCTTACTGAATATCTAATGGCAGCTGCATCACATATGCTTTTTTATTCCAATTATTATTTTATAGCCACTAGAAATCTATTAACAGGCTGTATCAAAAGAGAAATTTACATGTAATGTATCTGCCTTTCTACTCAACACAGCTTCTAGGTTCCATAAATAGCAGCACTAATCCAAATAGTAATGTCTAGGTTTTGATGGAATTAGAAAACATGAATTAGGAACTAGTGCCGGCATCCTGTTGGAGATTGCAATACACAGAACTAAAGTTGTGCTATTGGTGAGGTGCCCATTCCATGGCTAGGCAATTTACTACATGACTAGGACTGCCTCCACAGTTTTAGTGGCACACATGTTAATCCAGAACAGGATACTGGCCGAGTGATGAAGCAAATCAGGAGAAGGCTAGAGTGCAAGTGGAGAAGGAAACTGACAGAATATAATAAGGAAGCTGTCAGGGTCACGACTAACCTTTACCTTGCCAAGATAAGGGCTGCTAGTTGAGCTCATCTCGCTGACCGGATAAGTGAGGGTTCAAATCAGCAGGCAGAACTTTTCTGTATAGTTTGCGACCTATCTGGAATTGGTCTGTGTCAGTGGTTCTTAACCTTTGTTACTCAGGTGTTTTTGAACTGCAACTCCCAGAAACCCCAGCCAGCAGAGCTGATGGTGAAGGCTTCTGGGAGTTGCAGTCCAAAAACATCTGAGTAACAAAGCTTAAGAACCAGTGGTCTATATGATGGGCCTCCTAGTATCTCACCCGACCAATTTGTAGCATTTTTTAAATCAAAAGTAGAGGCTATCTGCCAGGAGCTTTCTCCTTTTTTGGATACAGTAGATCGAGCAGAGATGTCCAGTGCTCTGCCTTGCCCTTTGAGTCTTGATCTCTTTCAGCCTGTGACGCCAGATGTCATGGACAAAGCGCTAGACCACTGTTGGACCACCATCTCATCTCTTGACACTTGTCCGGCCAGGATAATCAAAGCAGCCAGCCCTATAACAACTGAATGGGCCACAGTGATAATTAATGGGTCTTTCCTTGAGGGCAGGGTTCCCCTCGCCCTCAAGGAGACACTTATTAGGCCCATTAGAAAGAAACCAAATTTGGCGGCAGACAATATTGGCAACTATAGGCCTGTTGCCAATGTTTCTTTCATTAGTAAAGTAGTCGAGAGTGTGGTGGCCGATCAGCTTCAGGTGCATTTGGATGAAACAAATGCCCTGGATCCGTTCCAGTCGGGCTTCAGGCTACACCATGGTACAGAAACAGCATTGGTCACCCTGTTAGATGACCTATTGAGGGAGACCAACAGAGGGAAAAAGTCCCTGTTGGTCCTCCTCGATATCTTAGCCACCTTTGATACCGTCGACCATGGTATCCTCCTGAGGAGTCTTTCCGAGTTGGAAATTGGTGGCCTGGTGTTTGCCTGGCTCTGATCCTACTTGGAGGACCATCCTCAGAGAGTTCAGCTTGGGGAGGGGGACTCAACCCCGTGGAGCCTCAATTGTGGAGTTCCGCAGGGCTCGACCCTCTCCCCAATGCTGTTTAATATCTATATGAGTCTGGGTGGGGTCATCAGGGGGTGTGGGGCATTGTGCCATCAGTAAGCTGATGACACTCGGCTCTACATCTCCTTTTCTCCAACCACAGTGGATGCCATTCTGTCCCTTCAGCACTGCTTGGAGACTGTACTACAATGGATGCAGTAAAATGGCTGAGGCTGAACCCAGACAAGACAGAGGTCCTGAGAGAGGGTGGCCCCACCATCAGCAGTTTGGGAAACTCCCTCTCTTTTGAGGCAGTGACTCTTACTGTGAAGAGTGAGGTTCACAGCTTGGGTATACATCTGGACCCAGCACTCACCATGGAAACTCAGGTGGTGCCAGTGGTTTGTTCCGCATATTTCCAGCTTTGGTGGATTGCCCAGCTGCATCCCTATCTTGATGTTGGGGCACTCACCACTCTGGTCCATGCGCTCGTAATCTCGAGATTAGACCACTGTAATGCGTTCTGTATGGCGCTACCTTTGAGACTGATGTGGAAGCTCCAAATGGTGCAGAATGCAGCGGCCAGATTTCTCAGTGGAGTGAGGAAACACCAACATATTACTTCCACCCTGGCCGCCTTGCATTGGTTGCCCAAATGCTTCTGTGGTTATTTCAAACTTTTAATGATTACATACAAAGCCCTAAATGGTTTAGGACCTCGATGCCTGGCAGAACGCCTCCTCCCACCTAGATCTACCCGTACCACTCGATCCAGTCAGGAGGGGCGACTGAGGAGCCTAACGCCAAGGGAGGTCTGGAAAGAAAAAAAATGAGACACTGGGCTTTCTCGGCAGTGGCTCCTCTTTGGAACAAATTCCCCTCTGAGATCTGTTTGGCCCCCACGCTGGGGATTTTTAAAAACAACTTAAGACCTGGTTACTCAGACAGGCCTTCCCTCCAGGCACTACTTAATTTATTTTTCTTCCCATCTTGAACTATTGTTTTCATTGTATATTGCTGTAAAATTGTTACTATATATTAACTGTTTTATCTTGTCTGTTGTGAGCTGCCCAGAGTAGACGGTGCTAGATGGGTGGCATATAAGTGCAATCAATCAATCAATCAATTTTAAAAAGGGAAACCACTGAGGCTTCAGTTTTATACATATATATTTAGTAATAAGTGTCATGGTAATACATTGGGCTTGCTTTTTGATAAACAAATGTCTAGTTATGGTATAAAACATAAGTGCAATAAATAAATAAATAAATAAATAAATAAATAAATAAAAGGGAAACCACTGAGGCTTCGGTTTTATACATATATAGTAATAAGTGTTATGGTAATACATTTGGCTTGCTTTTTGATAAACAAATTTATAGTTATGGTATAAAACACAGTGTAAAATACAGTGTTATATCTATTTTATAAGCAAATTCTTTAATTTTGTTTTATTTTTATTAATAATAACTGAATAAGATGCTCTTAAATAAATGACTTCATCAGTCAATAGTGGGACGGCCTTACTGCTTTCAGAAAAGACGTAAAGTTAGGTTCAGCTTATCTTGAGATAAATTATTTTACATGTAAATATTCACTCTGAAAATTCACATTAGATTGGTGCTGACATAGCAATACTGTATACAATAAAAGTCGCTGTATGTTGTGTTACTGAGTATAACATCAGAGAGATCAGTTGTAGCATAGATGGCTCATGAATGGGGAGCTGCCCCTCCTTGATCAAGGAGCTGCTATTGAATTGTAATGTGTATACAAGCATATGCATAGTCAGGCTTCTGCCACCATGGCATTTGTACAACAATGCAACCATTTTTAGCAGAATGGGTAGGGCTTCCTTGATGGGCCAATAATGGTAGCTACAGACTGATGGTGTTTTACATTTATAGCATTTCTTGGCTAAAAATCTCAAAAACATAATCCATCCATAGCATTGAGCAAATCTGTGAAAACCTATCAGAGTATTTGTTGGGAATCCACTAATTTCCACATATGGGTGGTGGTGGAAGTGGTCTATAAATCCCAGTACACAACATTCCCTGGTACTTTTGTTCCCACTGGTAATAAAAGTAACACATGTTATAGACTCCTTGAAGGGACAATCAAATGTGTTATGTCATTTCTACAGGCAAGATAAATCTCCCCTAAGGCTGTTGCTTTAGGAGATGCTTTATGAACACATTCAAAATTAGTCCTAGAATCCCTGACTGCATGCCATTAATAGTCTACAGATATCAGACGGTTTTCTTTAATTGTGTGAAGGCAATTAATGTGCACCATCTTGTTATGAAAAAAGCCTTAGGAAGCAGGGGTCTGTTTTCCCCAAACACTGTTGACTAAAATAGTTCCCATTATTTTCCTATGGTCAGTATGACTTTGATTTAATTCTTCTAACATACAGAAGTCAACTATCCTTCGCCGCATTACTGAAAGGACACTTCTGATGAGTATTGTGTCATATCATGAGAGAGAGATTAAATGTCTGTAGCTGACTTTCAGTGAATTTTTTTGTGCTAGGATCTTCTGAAATCAGAACAGGCAAACTGGAGGGCTTGTTCAGCATATTACAAAGATTTGACAGAAAGAATAAAACAAAGATTAGAAGCTGATTGTGACAAGTATTCATCCAGTTTGAGCAGCCTAGTGGTAAGTAAGAAAATACTGTACATTTAGAAATAATTAAAGACACTGGCATTATTAAAGCATGTTAACTTGCTTGATCATTATCATTAGATTGATACTAAAAATAATCTAAGGAATATTTAATAAGTTATCTGATAACATTTAATTTGATTGTCATCCTTTGCAGTTGTATGGTACTTTTGAGTGTTTAAAGTGCTTCACATGTGCTGTCTTATAATTTCTGTCATGAATTTGTAAGGGAAATGTCATTACTCCCATTTTGCATATGCAAAGACTGAGGTTGGCTAAGCTTACTGAGGGATTCACTGAAACAGTGACATTCAAAGTGAATACTTTTTAAATTAGTAGTTCAGTCTCCTGTAGTGCTATTTGTGTCTCTTAAAAGTTTCATTCAATGGAAATACTCCCAGGTAGATGGGGTAGGATTGTAACCTTGACTGCTATGTTAATGCAACTTTTGATATATTGCTATCTTAAGTGATTAGAAGTCCAGTTGCCATGACCCAACCTCCAGTTAACATCACCTGAATGACTGAGAATCTTCACAGATATATCTAAGGAAATTATTCTTGCCTTCACCCTTTTTTAAATAACATTTTTACATTTAAAACTCTCTTAGTCAAATCTGCCATTTATTTGATCTCTTTTTATATATTTAATAATAAAAGTATTTATTCTCTTTGCTAATATTGCTCCAAATATCGTATTAAAGAAACAGGCCTATAAGCTCCAAGATCAATTGAGTATTTTTGCTTTTGGAATTAATATAATTAATAAATGTTTGCAAAATAATAAAATTTCTTCCTCTTCCATTATTTCATTAAAAAATTACTTTAGTTTTGGTATCAACATGATCTTAAAACCTTTGTAATACTTCAGTCCCAATCCATCAGTTCTTGGAGTTTTACCTACTTTTAATTTAATAGCTTCTATATCTTTTTCTCTAATCAGTTGTTCCATCAAATCTCTATCCATCTCTTGTAGTTTAGAGCTTCTGTTTTTCTCAATATATTCTCCAACCTCCTCTAAAGAAAGTTTTCCACCAGTATATAATTTCTGAAATTAATTGCAAAAGACTTCAATATTTTTCTTTATCAAATTACATCTTCTCCCTATCTCATCCTTAATTACTCCAAGAAAACTCCAAACTTAGCTTTTTTTAGATTGAGGAGCTGTAGTCAATGTTCTTAAATACTTGTTACTAATCTCAAAAAATTCTCTTTTCAAATACATTAAATTTCTCAGAATTTTTTTCCATTTCAGTAATTTCTAATTCTTTCCCTTTTGCTTATATTTCTACTAAAATTAATTTGTCTCTGACATATATTTCACCTCTAGCAATCTTACTTCAATTTCAACCTTTCTCAAATGTTCTTTTTTCTTTTTAAGCTTCTGATTCCCTTACACCAATTGATCCCATCACATCTTTCAACGTATCACAAATAATACTCTTGTTGCAATCTCCTCCGTCACTAATCTCTCATATTTCCTTCATGTCTTTTTCTCTTTTATCTACTATATTTTTGTATTGAAAAATACATGGATTTATCCTCCATCTTTTAGCTTCTTTATAATCATAATTGATTTTGACATTGATATTTAATAAAGCATGATCTTTATAATACTTATATCAGTTTTCATAACTCAAATCAAATCTTTAGAAACAAAAATACTGTATAGTCTATTCTAGAAAAGCTGTTATAAACTGAAGCATAATAAGAACTAATTATTACTTATCTTATTTTCATGCCCCTTTGTAATGCTGGTTTTGTTTCTTAGTCTGTATATATTCCATAACTTAAGAAAACTCAGTTAGTTAACACTGAAATTCAAGGGGGAAATTAGATTCCTAATGATGACCTAATTTGACCTTTTCTGTTGAATCTCATTTTAAACAGATTAAATTTGGAGAGTACATTTACTTTGAAGAAAATGGCTGCATATTTCGTTCAAAGCTGGGAGACACTGGTATGAGTATCTTGCTTGTTATTATAAAACGTTTTTACACATTTGAAATTTTTGCATATGCAGCTTTTATAAACAAGAAGAAATACAGTAAGACAAAACAATACACAGTAGCTTTACTATTATTGACTGTTATTGACTCATCATTTTCCACAAATGAAAAAGTGAAGCTGTTCATATCTAAGAGCTGAATACTATAGCACAATAAATGTGAAATAGCCTTAGTACCTAACTGGCTAAAATCTTAAGGAAATTTGGTTGTAAGTACAGTAGTACAGCTTTGCATGTCTATATTTGTTTTCCTTTTGTCCAGAAAGTTTATGTGGGAACCAGAGAAGCCATTTCAGGGTGGGAGGCATGTTTGTTTACGCAATGGGAAGTCCACAGTTTTTACCAGATCTCTCCCTTCCCATTCCCATCCCGAATTGCAAACTACTAAGCCACATCTTGCACAAGAGCATCCTGTGACTCCCAGGAGTACATCTGGAGGTATAATGAAAAGCGTGCTGAAAATACATGGTGGGGAAGTCTATTTGTGCTAGTTTGAATACAAGTCCCTTCCCACCCACACTATGCCAGAGTAATTGCTAATGGCGCCACCATGTTATTCTGTTGGAACAAAATCATCAGCCTTTTATTGGTAACCGGTTTTAATGCCATAAATTTTCAGGGAGAACAGGCTATTACATCAGGGATATTAGGTGGTTCTTCGCATTAGTTTTCCTGTTCAAATTAGTTTCTTTTTCTTGTATTGTAGCTGAAGGAGACAGTGAGTCATTACTAAGTACAGAAGCTCTACCATTCCATGATTCCTTAATTCAACGCATCAGAATTTCTCCAGATCATGGATACATGGCTACTGGAATTAAAAATGCAAATTCTGAAGAGTCAGCTTGTATCATTGTGAAACTAAATACTTTACCAAAAGTGGAATGTGTAATCCCAAATGCGTTTAGCTTTGGTAAGTAATAATTAGCATGAAATGTTTTGATTTATGATGTAATATACTGAATGAAATTCAAAACTTTATCATCTGGTTGATATCTGATTCATATTCAACGTATTGTTTGTGTAATTAAGAATAATTGAGTGAATAGCTAAGATAAAGACTGAAATCCAGTAGTGAATCACAACCAGAGTATGCCCATTGAATTAGTGGAATTACAGGTATTAATTCACCAGATATTCATTAATTCAATAGGCATACTCTAGTTGTGATTTGCTACTATATTTCAATCAGTATTTTATTCCCATTGGAAGGTTGATAGGACTACATTTCCTGTTTAAGTGTCCAAAATATGACAGAGTGTTACTACTGAGGTGGAGAATAACTGTCCTTCCCCCCCTATTGCCACCATTTTACTATATCAACCATTGTTGTATTCAGCCTCTAAAATAGGCTGCATTCCATTCTGAAGGATGAATAAAATAAGATAAAGCTTCTAAAATGTTTCAGAGAGGTAGCCGTGCAGTTTGATTGAAACAAAACAACAGAGATGTGTGGCAACTTTAAAAAATAACAAACATCCTATGGCAAAAGTTTTTATGGCTCAGACTCCACTTCATCAGATAGTTGATGCATTGTCCTGAGTTAGTGGTCATAGATATTCATAGTTGTGGGCAGAAGGCATTATAAGCACAGGACTTATAGGGAAATTAAATGCAAAAAGTATAGGCTGTGACAGTTACTAGAAATCAGCGGTGGTGAACCCATGATCCTCTAATATTGTAGCAATCCAACCCGGGTAACCCCAGTCAATGGTCAGAAATGATGGGGTTATTGTAGTCTGGCAACATCTGATAGTATGTGAGATCTAAATGATCAGTATTTGAGATCTAAATGATTACATTGATGCCTCGCAAGACAAATGCCTCGCACAACAAAAAAACTCGCAAGACGAAAGCGTTTTGCAATTATTTGGTGACTCGCAAGACAAATTTTTCTATGGCCATGCTTCGCAGGACGAATAGAAACGCATTAATTAAATTTCAATGCATTCTTATGGGAAATGGCGCTTTGCAATATGAAATAACTCACGGAACGAATTATTTTTGTCTTGCGAAGCATCACTGTACACCTGTATGGATGATTTTATTTTCACAATTTTTACAATTTTCAAATTAGCTTTATTAAATGCAATTTGCTTCACATATCCAGTTATTAAAAATTATGATTCCATCTATAACTGTGGGGGAAAAAACTTTTCTTCCCTCCTTTCCACAGAATGGGCAACAGAAGAGATTCTTTTCTATACAGTTCAGAAGAACCTTCAGTGTCATGATGTACATTTGGCAGATTTTAGGAAAAAATGTTCTAAATTGGTTTATGCAGAACATGATGCAAGGTAATTGACTACATTAAACTAATTTCTCTATGTGTGGTTTATATAAAAACAGACATATGTATCAAGACAAGATTGTTTGGAAAGAAAGAAAAAGCCTCAAAACAGCTTTTTAAAGTTGGTATCTAAAAGAGAACTGAACAGAGACACTTTCTCCATAAAGCATGCATGCCAGTGGTGCCTCAACTTATGACCATCCCAACATATGACCATTTTGAGTTGCAACCAGCTCTGGCCACAAAATTTTGCTTCGACTTGCAGCTGGAGCTTCGAGTTGCAAACAAAAGAGGCAGGGGAAAAGGCGGGGAATTCAAATTAGAGGACTAACTGTTGGTCAGCGAAGAGCTTCTTAGTAGCTTTTTTGCCCCAACGGTTAGAGTTTGTGCATTGGAGGAGGCTTCAGAGTGCCTGGTGCTGCTTTCTGCTCCCAAGTACATTTACTTTGTTTTGCAGGGTGGGTTTGGGTTTGGGGGGGTGTTATGTTTCTGTCCTGTGATGTTTCTCGTGTGGTGTTTTTTTCAGCCCCACCGCGTTCCAGTGGGGCTTGGTCTGTTTTTTTCTTTGTTTTGTTTGTTTTGGGTTTTCATCCCCATCGCATTGCGATGGGGCTGGCTGTGTGTTAGGTTGATTTTTTTTTTCAACCCCATCACGTTCCAATGGGGCTGGCTGTGGGGTGGTTGGTTTTTTCCAGCCCCATCGGAATGCTGTGGTGGTGGTGGTGGTGGTGGGGGGTTCGTAGTAAATATAATCTGTCCACGTCGCTTTTTGGATGAAGCTTGTGATGCATTTTCATTAGTTTCCATGTTTTTCGTTCCAATTCTTTATTTTGTTTTGAGTCCAATCTATTATTCCAGTTGGGTATCCGAGTACTTGAATGGTCCATGTGTTTATGGCTTTGATTGTATTTCCCCCATTTAATTTTGATTTTAAGATTTTCCGCAGTCTTTGATATAGTCTCTTTCTGTCAGTTCTTTAGCTTTTGTGTGCACAATGTTTTCTGCTTCTAGTATTCCAAGGTATTTATAATTTTCATCACTTGAGAGTGATTTTATAATATTGCCATTTTTAAACTCTGTTCCACCTAGTTTTTGAATCTTACCATGGTGTATAGACAAAGCTGCACATTTGTCAATTCCAAATTTCATTTGGATATCTTCCACTAAATATTAGCCATGTGTTTAGCAATGATTCTATCTCTGTGGAACTATTTGCATATAGTTTTAGGCCATCCATGTATAAGAGATGATTGATATTTCCTGCTTGTTCTGAAATATGGTAGCCCAGTACAGTTTTATTTTAAATTATTGACATGGGGATTAGTGAGATGTTAAACAGCAGTGGTAACAAAGAATCCCCCTGATATTTTCCTCCTTTGATGTTAACTTCCCCAATTTCTTCACCATGGGCTATTAAGATGGTTTTCCATTTTTCCATGTTTTTCTTGAGGAACTTCTGAATGTTTTTACTAATCCCAAACATTTTAGGCATATATTAATCCAGCTGTGCGGCAATGAGTCAAATGCCTTTTTATAGTCTAACCAGGCCATATTAAGATTTGTTTTTTGTCTTTTTGCACTCCTCAGGATCATTTTATCAATAAGCAGCTGATCTTTTGTGCCTCTTGACCTTTTAAAGTTCCCTTTCTGTTCAGTTGGATATAAGGAGTTTTCAGTTAAGCATTTATATATAGATCTTGCAAGTGCTCCTGTGAGGAGCTTGAACATTGTTGGAAGGCATGTAATTGGTCGATTATTACTGGGTTCATTGCCCTTTGGATAATATTCTGTTATCAGAAATGTGTTGCCTGTTGTCATCCAGTCTTCAGTTGTAGAATTGTGGTAAAATTGCACTGCTATACGTTGATGGAGACTTGTTAGATACTTTAACCAAAATCCGTGCATCTCATCTGGACCAGGTGCATTCCAATTTTTCACATCCTTTACTTTCCTATTAATTAATTAATCATTTCAGTTGTTATCAAAATATCATCCATTTGTTTTCCTTGAGCTTCTTTACAAACATCTTTAATCCAGGAGGCGTTTTGTTATGTCCAGTTGGGCTTTCCCACATTTCTTTCCAAAATTTAAGAGCATCATCTTTACAAGGGCCTTATTTCTCTGCGTTTTCTCCTAATGGTGTATAGAATAATTGTTGGTTATTTTGAAATTGCGTGTTTTCTCTATATTGTTTCAAGCGTCCATCATATCTTTCAATTTTCTTTGCGGTTGTTGTTATCCGCTGTTTTAATTATTCCATAGTTTCAACGGTCATTTTCCTTTCTAGGTCATATATTTTGCATTGTCTGGCTTTTATTTTTTCATTTTTAGGTTTTGAATCTTTCAAGTGTTTTAAGTTGCTAATGTATGCACGTAATCTGTTTATATTTCTTTCCAGCTGAATTTTCCATTTTGAGATGCCTTAAGTTTTCTGGGGTTTTTGCAGCTTGTAACCAAGTTCCATGGTTACTATGGTAGCTGTGCTATAAATGAGCTGGTTTATTTCCTTTAGCATGTTGATTGGTATTGTTGTGATGACAACATTTACATCATTCAGTAGATCTTTTACCAGTTTACTTTGTAATTGGTGCAAATTGGGTAACCTTTGTCTTTCTGTCTGGCTAATATGGGTTACTATTTTTCCCCTCAGTGCTATTTGCTATTCTGTCAACTCATAATTTCTGGGTTGTTCCATAAGTTGTACAGTGGTGCCTCGCTTTACGATTTTAATTGGTTCAAAAAAACCACACATCGCTATGGGAAAACATCGCTAAGCGAAACACGTTTTCCCATAGAGATGCCTTGAAAACCGGATTGCCGTCCTTAAAATCCTTCCTTAGTTATATGCTACGTAATAGTGTTGCTTGAAATTTCTCCAGTTGGTAGCAATAGATTTTAACCTCACACTTAAATGCTTAAATTTTAGGGTACTTCAATATAACAGGAGCAGACCTCTTTCCTTTGACTGTATCCTTTAACTAGTAATACTAGCATATTCCCATACAAATAGAAGCTCCTCTTAATAAAAGATGGTGCTTCGTCTATTTTCTGTTTCATGAATACATATATGGTACTTTCTAAAAGTTGAAACGAATGAGTATTATCAACTCTCTGGTAAGAGAGATTGCATTCCAGAGAAACAAGTCCAGTAGAAAACACTAGAGTAAAGGAGCGTGTTTTCATCCTGTGCTGCTGTCATTTGCTCTTTTTAAAATAAATATAAGCTAGGAGAGATAATTTTGGAAATGTCAAGGTCACCTTTGGGTCAGGGTGCAAGAATATAGCAGGTTCAATGTCTATAAACACAAAATTGCTGTGGTGGTTCAAAGCAAAGATCCTTCTAGGTCAACTGTTTCATTAAGCATTAAAGCTGAACCAGCTTCATATCCTCACACAAAAGATATTTCAGCTGAGCCTAGTTTTGGACATAAGTAGGTACATAATTCCATTGTGGGGTTCATTGTAATTAAGTTTTTATATACTCTCAGTAGAATTGTTTTGTGGTAATGTTTCCCCGAAAATAAAACCTAACCTGAAAATAAGCCCTAGTATGATTTTTCGGGATGCCCATAATATAAGCCCTACCCCAAGAATAAGCCCCAGTTAAGTGAAACCCCACCCTCCACCATTGTGCAGCAACCAAAAGAAGATGACATGACTATAGTTGAATAAATGTAGATTGTTGTACATTAAAAAAACAGAACATCTTCTGAAAATAAGCCCTAATGCATTTTTGGAGTAAAAAGTAATATAAGACCTTTTCTTATTTTTAAGGAAACACAGTATTTTTAGCACTGATTTACATATATCAGGACTCACACCAGTGGTCAGGAGTATTGGATTGGGACTTCAGAGGTCCAAATTCAAATCCCTACTAAGCCATGAATCTCACTGAGGACTGACCTACCTCATAAGCTTGTTCTGAGGATAAACTGCACTCCCAAGACCATGTCTCCCATTATGAGCCTCCTCGGGTATTAAGTTAATCAGGAGAGGCCTTTGTCTCTGTTCCACCACCTTCACAACTGCATTGGTGGAAACACAGAGAAGGACCTTCTCTGTCGCTGCACCAAAGCTCTGGAACGCCCTCCCACAGGAAGCCAGGTTGGCTCCATCTTTATTGCCTTTCCACAAGTGGACGAAGACCTTTCTCTTCAGGCAGGCTTTTCCTTACTAACTGGCAGCCTGAGAGGTTGTGTTTTAAATGGATTGTTACGCATTATTGCTTTGACTGTGTTTCTCATTTCTCAGAGTGGTACTTGTTTGTTCCTTTTTAATATGTCTATACTTAGTGTTTTCAGCTTCAAACATAGCCTTTTAATGATTTCAGCTGCTTTTCGATAGTCATTGTGTTTAGCTTTAAATGTTGTCTTTCGATGATGTGTGTCACCTTCATATACTCATTTTTTATCTTTAAATATTATCTTTTAGCTTTTAGCCATCTTGGATCCTTTTTAAGTCATACCCACTTGGTCATGGAAATTCACTCAGGGAGTTAAACTGGTAAAACCTGTTCTTAAATATCTCACCTTGAAAGCCTCAATAGGGTCACTATTGGCCTCAAGACCCCACTCCGGATCCGCCGCCAGCACCAGCTGCTTCGGATCCTGACCCCTGCTTGTTGGGGCACCAGGACCGCGGCTGCAGCTGCCTTCTCAGGTTTGCCTGTTGGGGGGGGAAGTGTGGTAGCGATCCGGCGACTTACGGCTCGCGTGCCAACGGAGAGGGCTCTGTGTGCCAGCTGTGGCACTCGTGCCATAGGTTCGCCTTCACTGCTATAGTCCATGGTCATATTGCCAACATGACATGGGGAATTAACCATTTGAGGGACTGAACTCAAGATTGTGTTATCCCATTGATTTCAATGAGAACCAAGTTTAAATGGCTTTTCCTGAATCCAGCCCATTATGATGTTCATATTAAGTATTCATGAATCATTATGTAAGGATTTAGTATTCTGCATTCCTCAGTGAGTGGCACCAAAGAATATTTTGTTCTGTCCAAGTAGCACATGTTGAACTGTAGTGCAACTTACGCATATTCACAAATGTATGTACATCTATGTAGTCATGATAGGAGAGAGACCATACATCAGTGACAACTGATGTAGAAGATCTCACATTCAATCCCTTTCAGGCATTTCTAGTTAAAAATTGCACATCATGGAGAAGACCACCTTTGCCTGAGACCTTGAAGATTCATTGTCAGTCAAAGTTGACTTATCGCATTGTGGAATGTAGTGTACTGTAGTTCAAAACTATAATAAACAGACAGAAAATATTCTGACTTAGTAAGGCAGCTTTCTGTGTACATTGTCAGTTTTAATGAATCTGGCTGCAGATACCATTACCCTCTTTATGCAAACTACTACAATTACAGTGATTACAGAGACTGTGATCTCTCTCTCTCTCTCTCTCTCTCTCTCTCTCTCTCTCTCTCACACACACACACACACACACACACACACACACACACACACATTGCAGATGATATTGTAATAGAATTATTACTTTATTTGTTGTTTTCCCTATAGGTATTTTGTGGATCTCTATTGCACAAAAGATAAGCATTTTCTAACTATAAACAGTAATAGCAAAACTACCTCTGAAGTGTGGTTGGTTGACTGCTATCATCCTCTCAAATCACCTGTGCTTGTGCAACAACGTACAGAAGGAGTCATTTATCATGTTGAGCACAGAAACAATGAATTGTACATTCTTACTACATATGGTGAACCAGTGGGATACAAGGTAGGGGATGCAGACATGATATACATGATATTAATTGTTTAACTTGGGAGTATATATCTGAATGAAGATGTATTGGATTGTGCAAAGCATTATGAAGACACTTGTGGAATGCCTGTTTGCAATATATTGTAGAATGGCTTCAGAAATGTCTCAAGTAGAATCCATGTATTGTATTGACTCTTGTACATGGATGGAAATTAGGTTTTGTAAGCAATAGGAGTTTTAGAGTACCAGAATAAAAACATTTTGTACAACCCAGTGTTTTCCCACTCAGTAAGATTTCATAAATAATAATCTCAGAACTGCAGAGCTGGAAGAGATCCTGTGGTCAACGACTCCAGCCTCTGTTAAAGAATCAAACTTCCAACCTCTGGCTCTGCAGTCAGATGCCTGAACCACCAAGGTATCCTATATAGGGCTTTCAGTGGCCTGATCCTAGTTTCTGAGACATATCCTCTCAACACAGGCACTAAAATTACGTAACTTTGTGTTTTTATTAATTGTTTGTATTATATTGGAAGCCGCTCAGAGTGGTCGCATAGACCAGATGGGCGGGATACAAATCAGATCAATCAATCAGTCAGTCAGTCAGTCAATCAATCAATCAATCAATAAAAAGGTGACAGAAGCAAACGTCCGAATCAATCAATCAATCAATCAATCAAAAGGTGACAGAAGCAAACATCCAAAGGAGAAATCCTTTGCTGAAATAAACATACACATTAAATTGAGTCCAGCTTGAATTTTGAATAGTGTAGTGTACATTTCTGGAGCTCATGATTATTATAAAGGTGGGATGAGATGAAGAGATTGGGCTGACACATTCCCCTATACCTTCACAGTGGTAGATATTAGAAGTGTAAGAGGCAACAACCAAAAGTCAGGTTGCAACACTTAGTAAAAAATTAATTGGATTAATTATACTCTTTTCACAGTTTTTATTATTACAGATTGATTTAAAGAGTCTCCTCTTTAAAAAAAAGAGGACCATAAGGTGAATTGGGTGTTTTCAATAGAACATACATTTTATTGAACAATCCCACAGAGATTGACAGTATCCATATTTATTTTTGCATCTGCATCTTTAATTATACTTACAGGTCAACTACATAAGTACACATGTCTACATGCGCATTATTACCAATTACAAAATGAGAATTAATTTCCCCACCTATGTTTTTACTATTATTCTAATTTTTTATTTTGGTTTCACTTATTAAGATCTGAGCAGTCTGCCTCCAATAACAGCTATTTCGGTGTAAGAGTTTCACCTAGCCCTTTCAGTTTGAAGTATCAAATATAAAGTTATATAATTCCTGTGAAGCAAGGATTCACCATTTCATTAACACTTTACTTCATTTCATTCACTTCTTTGAATGTGTGCACACTTCCTATTCAGTGCTAGAGAATATATCTCTACTGATTGCTTGATTGACTGACCGATTGATTTTTAAATACAGTGGTGCCTCGCATAGCGATGTTAATCCGTTCCAGATTAACCTTTGCTATAGCGAAACATCGCTGAACAGGACAGGGAAAGCCATTGGAACGCATTAAACATCGTTTAATGCGTTCCAAAAGGCTCCTTTACTGTTCAGAGAAGTTTCCTATGGCTGGCAGTCATTTTCGCGCCCTCAGTAAGCGAGGGGTGGGCGCGAAAACGCTGTGCGCGGCCATTTTGGGGCTTCTGGCGGCCATTTTGTCCACCGAACAGCTGATCGTCGGGGCTTCGTTTTGCGAAGATCAGTAAGCGAAATGCTTACCGATCTTCGCAAAGCGAGTTTCGCCCTATCTAAAAGTCATTGAGCGATCGCATTAGCGATCCCAAAAAAGGGATCGCTATGCGATTTCGTCGTTGTACGGTGCGCTCGTTAAGCGAGGCACCACTGTATAGCGACTGGCTATCCTGCCTGCAGCAAATGTAAGCAGATGAATTTGCTACTTGTTTATTGCTCACTTGGTGCAAGGCTAGTACTAAGTTCAAACACAGAGCCTTGAAGCAGTTTTTTGTTATTATTTGGGAAAGACGTTTCAGTATTCCACTTTGAATGTACTTAATGCTACGGTTTCCTGTCCTTCTCATTAAAAGAAGAATTCTAGGCTTCCACGTTCTAGATCTATCAGAGTTATTATTCAATTCACTTCTTCTGTATACACTGTTCTAGAAATATAATTCTGTCTGCTTCCACTTAGCTTTGGTGCCCTCGTGGACTCCATTTCATCTTTTTGTTTCCTGCTGAGATGTGTAGAAAACATTGCAAACCCTTGAGAAGAAAAATAAAGTGTGCGCAGCTGGGTACTTTCTTGATTTATGACTGGTACTTGAGCAGAAGCTGGAAATGTGTGTTATGTGGTTGGTTATTCTTCCATTGCATTACCTTAACATTTATCTAAATTTTGCATCCAGATACAGTAGGATGTAGTGTGTGTGCGCGCGCGTGTGCACGCGTGCCTCAGGGGACACTGTGGGAGATACTCATCACCGTTTTCGCTAAATATAAGCAAGATATAACAGTCGTTTTCTTTCAGATGTCATGAGACTGAGCCATCCTAACCATCTGTCTAGTATATTCTGAATTATGAGGGGTAATGTTAAAACTGGTTACTGAAAACTTACCTGTTGCTATAGTATACCTGTATTAGGAACTCAAAATAAGTGTCTGTTCTCTGAGAATGCTTATACAATTTGTGATTACAACTTTTTTAAATTTAAATATGTAGGATATTTTGTTTTTATTTGTTTGTTTCTTGTGTTTTTAGCTAATGAAGGCACCAATCAGTTCATGTGGTTTGAGGAATTGGATTTCAATTTATTCAGTAAAAGAAAAGACAAAATTAGTTGACTTAGAGATGTTCAAAGACCACTGTGTTGTCTTTCTGAAGTTCTGTGGTCACCTGTATTTGGATATTATTTCTCTTCCATCAAATTCAGTTCACAGTGTGAAGGTAAATGTTTTCTCTAAAATTCTTGTCGCTTTTTAAGATTTTGTTTTTATACTGTATCTTGCAGGATTAATGTAGGTGGCAGATTAAGCTTTTTTTAATCCAGATATGTTCTCACAAATATACAGAATTTCTATATAATCCAATTAACACGAATAATTAAGGCCAGGATCCTGTTGGGCACCTCAAAGTGCATGAAATTCCTCTGACAAGTAATGCAGATCTTCTGCTTTTGCAGGCACTGTTGTTACACAACTGCAGGATCCCTGCTCTGAATAGCTGGCTTTCACTTGCACAAGAAGTTCCTGGATATTTGGCACAAACAATGTAAAAGTCAGCCCACTCACACTATGTCCATTGTATAAAGCATCCCACTCTATTTGTTTTACAAAGCCTCATGCTTTGTGAATGGTGCAGGTGAACACAACTATTTCTAGACAGGGACAACCTGAGTACAGTAGTTTGTGCACTTGTAACCTCCTAGTTAGTTACTGCAATGAACTTTACGTAGGGCTTCCCTTGAAAACAACACCGATGTTACAACAAGTGCAACATGAGCCAGTCTATTCTAGAAGAAACTACAGTTCTGTAAGAATTTCGCTGACTGCCAATACAATTCCAGCCAGCATTCAAGTTTTGATGATAATGTATAAGCACTGAACAGCTTGGGACATGGGTAATTGAGGGAACACATCTCCTTGTAAACAATCTCCTGTCCAGTCACTAAGGGGAGGAGCTCCTCTGTTTCCTACAATGGAAAGGATTTATAGAATGCTGTCCCCTTTGAGGCTTGACTAGCACCAACACTAACCTCATGTGAATGTCAAGTTAAAATGTGGATGATCACCAAGGCTTTTAGTGATTAAGGGTCATGGCTTTAATAGGCTGTGGAGGCGTCTTTATTATTATTGGGTTTAATGTATTATCTACTTTTTAATTTTTCTAATGTTTTTAAAAAGCTTTAAAATAATAAATCATTTTATGTTGTTTTTATTGATGTAGTCCAGCCTATTAGGATATAGGGTAGAATTTAAATGTTTTAAATAAAGAAATAAAGGTCTGGAGGCCAAACCCTATAAGAAACACTTGAAAGAGTTTGGTACGTTTAGCCCAGAGAAGAGAGCATAGATATGAGCTATGAAAGCGACCTTGAAACATTTGAAGGGCTTTCACATGGAAATGGACCAAGCTTATTTTCTACAGCTCCAGAAGATAGAAACCAGACTAATAGGTTCAAAATAAAATATAATAATAATAACAACAACAGCAACAACAACAGCAACAACAACAACAACAACAACAACAACAACAACAACAACAACAACAACAACAACAACAACAACAACAACAACAACAACAACAATGTGCTGTCAGTTCTGACTTATGGTGGCTCTTTTCCGGGTTTTCCAGATAGAGAATACTCAGAAGGGGTTTACTATTTCTTTCTTCTGAGGGTGCCCTGGGACTGTGCAGCTTGCCCAAGGGCACCCAGGCTGGCTCTACTCACAGGAGGCACAGTGGGGAAGCGAACTCCCAACCTCTGGCCCCACAGCCAGATACCTTAAACCACTGAGCCATCCATCCAGCTAGATTCAAAATCCAAGAACAGAAATTGCGAGTAAACATTTGGAAGAATTTCCGGACACTAAGAGCTGTTGAAAAATGAAATGAACTACCACGGAAGTTGGTAGAAACTCCTTCGCTGAAGGTTTTTAAACAAAGGTTGGATGCTCACCTGACAGGAATGCTTTGGCAGTGGGTGGGACTCTTGGGGTCCCGTACTGTTTACGTATATAAAATACAGAATAAGCCTATTTAGTGGACCTTGACTGTTTTGATTTATGCTGCATATAATATTGGGGAATTCCTGTGTCAACTAACCCTTTTAATTAAACAAAAGCTTTCCTTTTATAGTATACCTGGAGCAATGAAAGTTTACTATATTTCCTTACTTAGATAATCACTTTTATCTAGCTGATTTTTTTTCTTTTTATCTTTTAAAAATCAAGGAGGAACAGCTGTTTCATAAAAGCCCAGAGTAACTCCTGCCTTAAAACTCAGTTATCTGAAAATATTTTAAAATTTCTCTTAGAATACTTGTAATAAATGGGGTAAACGTATACACTCTCCAGCCAGTGTCCTAATTGTAGCATTCAAGTTAAATATAGTACCCATTCTGTAGGATTTTCTAGACTTTTTAGATTGATCCTCTTCAAGTTTTAATCAATTACACAGAGTGCGGTTTTTCTGTGTAAAGCTTTTTGACTCTGACTGCCACAATTCCCAAAGCCTTTATCAACCTACTAACCAGAACTCCTTAAAAGAAAGTAAGCAGTGGGTAAGAGACCCTGCTGCTTCCAGAGAATGAATCTTGATTCCTTTCATTTCTAGGAGTGTTAAGTCTTAAAACATAATAGCCCTGAGTTTCTGAGTGTAGCTGTGCCAAAAAAATGATTTTGTTCTTCACAATGGCTAGCACTGGGAACAAGTCAGAGGCGAGGATTGTAAGTGGCTGAGAGCGCCAAAGCCAGCGCAGGGCCTTAGCGCTATGACGGACGTTGACTTGCTGTGTTTCAAGTTGGGCAGAGCAAGAGAGAAGGCGGGGGGAAAGGGAGAAAGATTTTTAAAACTTTCTAATGATGCACAGGCATGCAACTTGCTTTAAAAAACAACTCTTAAAAGATTACATGTGTGTTAGAGTGGTTCCAAAGGTTGAAATCATCATTTTTTAAAGGCATATGGTCATGGTTTTGCTGACTGATCTCCATTTCAAAGCAGCACAGATTTTGTTTTCCGTTTGTGTTACTTGTTGAGACTCATTAAGTAGCTTTTAGGAAAAGGCGGGAAATAGCTAAATTGTTGCCCTCCTTGTTGTGTTTCTTTCAACATTTTTTTTTAGTTTAAAGGGAGGGAGGAAAAGCACCTCCTGGCAGACATACACAGCAGAGTTAATTAAGCCTGAAGTTTAAATCCTTTCATTGGACAGGAGACCATGGTTTACAGTTCTGTAGAAAGAAGGGGAGAAATCAAAGTCTTGGGGAGTACTAATGTTTGTTGGATTTCATCCACCCACTCCCAGCTTCCTGCCTGGGCCTGTTCATTCGAACTGGACCCTCATCCAGAGTATACCAGCGACATTTGCTATTTTTGGCTTGCCTCCCCAATTCAACCTCAAGTACGTTTTGCATATTCACTGGTGGAAAACAGGGTTATTGAACACATTGAGCAAGAGGCACCAATCACTATGAATTGTCACACCATCCGTTTAGAAGCTAAGAGCAAGGTAAGACTTTTGATTCTCTTTTTGCCCTCTTTTAAATAGCTTCTAGAAGGAAAATAGGAATTGACACCATATAGAGGCCACCAGATGCCTCATTTAGTAGATTAGCTGGTGTCTGCAGCTTTGTAAGGAGAAGCGGTTTAGGAGGCTTAGCATTTCTTTTCTGTTGTTTGCTTTTGAGACTCCTGACAGCAAGGTGTTACTTCCTCTGTTAAGAAAGAAAGCCGTGCAACAAAAAAAGTTTGTTGAGTTATTTTTTTTATATTAATACCTGGCTTATTCTGCTATAAGAGATGGACATTTTAGAACCGCATGAGGAGCTGCCCCCTAAAACAAAATGAAACAACACAAAAAGTAGAGAGAGAGAGAGAGAGAGAGTGTGTGTGTAAAGGAAAATATTCAAACAATTTTTAAATATCTCTATATTCCATAATATTTTACATGTTTAATAAATGTTCATGAGTTGCAAAAGAAGGAGGTAAAAACTTGTCCTGGCTTGATGTGCCCTAGTGTTCATTTTAGTCACACAGAACATAGGAGCTTTAAAATAAATATATATAATGTTAAGTTTCTAAGAAAAGGTTTGCTGCTGCACTAAGTGCTGGGCTACTCAGGTCATAATGCAGATGGGTATCATTAGAGAGTGCAGGAGGAGCTGGTTGCTTTCATGTTTTATAGGCTTCTCAGGTGTTACACTTAAATGAGTTTTTATGCTCCACGTTGGTAAACGAACCCAGTGGCAAGCCAATCTCCAGTTTTATTTTTCAAGAGCGCTTTTGTACAGTCAAAGTGCCAAAGAATTACTGTAATAAGAAAAACATGTTTAAAATATATAATTGAAGCTTTTGTTCCTGTGTATCCCTCATGAACTCTGAAACATCCTTTAATGGAAAATACTCCCTCATTTGCAGGATGGAACTTGGGTACCAATTACAGTTTTTTATGCAGCCAATAATACACAGCTACACAGGAGGCCACTTCTGATTCATGTATATGGAGCTTATGGCATAGACTTGAACATGAGCTTTAAAGCAGAAAATCAAATGTTAATCAAAGATGGGTGGATATTAGCATTCTGTCATGTTAGGTAAGCCTTGTATATTGCAATACTGCCTTCTGTTTTTTATTAATTGTGAATCGTCATATGGATAATCCGAGTGTCCAAGTCTTTTCCCCCCAGCTTTTATAGTCTTCCATTTCATTCACAATTTGTTGTTGCCATGTATATCATGTATAGTTTTATGTATTGTTTTGCCATTGCTGTGGTACTAAATACATTGCTAACATTTTATTAAAGGTCTAATCATTGAGTAAACTCAGTTAAATTAACAGGCTAAGAATGCATTGGAGTCAAATCTTTAGAATGATAGAACCAATGATGGGATTCAGTTTTTAAGACTGTTTTAGATCTCTGATACTATTGTAGTAACAGTTCCTACCACAACGCTTTCATTTTTTTACATCAGATAAAATATTCTGATGTTAGATGATATTGTAAGAATTTACCTTTAGAGGTTCCAAGACCTCTATTCAGAGCATGTTACCATAGTCTCTTGAGACTGAAGGATACCTACACCTTTACCTAAAAAGAGAGACTGTGAAGCATACAAATAAAAACATATGAATAATACAAATATTAACTTCATTTATCTAACTCCTTAATCACTTTGCAGGATTAATTAATTCTGCCTTTTTGTGGCAGCATGTAAATTTCAGCTGTTCCATGTGTTTCTAAATAACTAGAGTTCCAGATAAATAACTAGAGTTCCAGATAAAAATAATTCAAAATTCAAAACAGGAAAAAAGTATTTGTAGTTTTAAATGAAAGATAAACAAAATATTTTACTTTAACTAGTATTGCTGATTGGTTTTGTAAAATCAATTAATATATGGATTGAAGTAATATATAAGCAGTATTGGTTCCTCTACCAATTTAGTTGAAAAAATGGGATTTACAAATATGGTGAATACATATACAAAAAATAAGATTAGACCTCCTAAATGTAAAAAATAAGATTAGATCTCCTAAATGCACCACATGGGAATAGGCACCATTTGTTACAATGTTATTTATTTTTTGTATATGTCCTTTGTATGTATATGGTGTGAAAAGAGTGGATATCACCCCCAACTTAGCAGTAATAGAAGAAAGAGCCCTTAGGCTCTTCTTGGTGTTTAACAGGAAGAAAACATTCTGTAGGATGCTGAATATTTTTATCTTTATTTTATTTTATTTTTGCTCAGAATTTTAGACCTTATAGTTGTGAATCACCATATTGTATGTTGTTATAGAGGTCTTGTGCAGTTTTAGTTTTAACTTGTAAACCACCCAGAATAGTACTTGCACTAATGGAGCAGTATATAAATTAGATAGATAAATACAAAATTGGTGCATCCAATGTTTTTGGAGGGCATTTGGCCTCTTTTCTTACTTTATTTCTGACACTGGTCCATCAAACACTGACAGACAGCAACTCTTGGGGGAGTCAAATGGAGATCTTTCCCAGTCCTACTTGGAGCTGGCAGGGGTCTGCTTCATGCAAACCATATTTGTTATTATCAGTAGTAGTCGTGATAACAATCGTAGTACTTTGATCTATTATATGAATTTATCTTAAAAGATGCCATAAAATATTTGAAACCACGTAAATAGTTTAAAATTTAAAATATTGTAAACAGTCTTAAAATATTAAAATATACCGAAACAAAAAACCCTATAAAAATGAGATATCTGTGATGTTGACCGCCAAAGAACAACAAATCATAAAAGTAAATAATTTCTATATTTTCAGCCTTTAAAACATCAGCCAGTCATATCCTATTAAATACCTGGGGGCTCCATCTTGTTCTACCACTGAGATGTAGCCTATTTGCCTTGAATACTAGATAATTAATAAAATGTTGCTTTTAATTTTTGTGATGTTTTACAGTATATCCAGGTGGGATATAAATAAATAAGTAAATAAGTAAGTAAATAAGTAAGTAAGTAAGTAAGTAAGTAAGTAAATAAATA